TTACAAAGTGATTACACAAAATAGGGTCAAAACAATAATAATTTACATGAGATATGCATATATAAATACTTATTCATTACTTTTCCTGCCTCTTATTATTATTATTATTTATTTTCTAATTATTAATGTTGGTAATTAATTAAATAGCATATTTGTGTTATAATATTTGATCCCATTCAAAATCTTAAAAAATTACCCCCAAATAAAAAACAAAATATTATTATGTAATGTAATTTCTACAAGTTTTAATATCAATTCATTTAATTAGTAAAATTATTGTGATACACAAAAAATATTTCTTACTATTTAAGATAAGAAAAATCAAATTGGATAAGAAGAAAATTATTTCTTATTATATTAGACTTTAAATGACATAGAAAATTAATGTTTTTGAATAGTAACAAATAATATTATATAATCAAAAAAGATCATGCATTGATCTTTTTGGTCAGAGAAAAGACCAGACAGATTAATGAAGTTAACCCGTCGAAGCTGTACTTACATACATATATATATATATATATACTACGTATATATATACACACACAACATACCCACATTTTTCATTTCAAGATTAAACCAAACTTTTCTTCAAGACAGAGAAATAAAAGAGATCATGAGTTGCGAATACAATATTATTCTTGTGTTGGTGATGATGTCGTTGGTTTCCATGTTGAGGTTTGAGTGCAGAGCTTCTTCAATGGCGGACGAGGATGATTACAGAACATATTTTTCACAGGAGTTATTTGGCAGAGAAGAAATGGTGCATGTAGCTGGGTATGGAGAGGACAAGCTTTCTTCCGTTCTGGTCATTGGCTCCATCGTTTGCAAGACTTGTTTGCATGGTGAAGAAGATGATCATCGCCTTCGTCTCTCGCCAATTCCAGGTTTGTAATATAATATATATATATATATATGAATCATTATTATGTAAACGGTTAGTATATTTTCTTCTTTATTAAAAGTTGTAAATTCAATACTTTTGAATCTCATAACTGCGTATATCTTAAACTTCTAAATACGAATATATGTGTATGTTCAAAGTTACATAATTTAAAAATTTTAAAAAATTATAAAATAATAATCTAGAGATTAATCATCTTATATAAAATTATATAAAAAAAACGTAGAGTATACTGGTAATAATTAAAATAAAATAACAAAATTAATTTGTAAGAAGGTCAAATTAATAAATATAAAACTAAATTAATTTTAATTTTTATCTTTTGGGTCTTCTTCAATTCTCTAGTCTTTTTCTTTACTACCAAGAAAACGTATAAGATAAGGTAATATATATATATATATATATATTGGTGAAAAGTCACAATAATTGTTCAAATTAAGACTTGTTATAAGTCAATTTCTAAGTCCCTTTTTTGACCTAAATTGCCATAGACAAGGAAACTACTTAATCTTCAT